ACACCCCTTTTTACTGTGGTAAAGGCGCTAATCGGACACTAAAATTAGTTTTAATTTGACTATATTTCATTAATTGTGACAATATGGGTGATAAATCTATCTCCCATCCAGGCTGTCGCCTTTCTGATAAATGTGTTAATTTTATGTTGACCTTGTCATTCACCTTCATGCTTTCATTTCCCTCATTTCCATGCACTGGGTTTTCTCTGTGGGTTTCAGGCCATTAATTTTAAAGAGGAAGATGTGCTCCGCTGGCCTGGCACTCATCTTGAATTTACATTTTGGTTTGACTGCAGCAGACTCAGACATTCATAGATACACTACACTCACACTTCACTCAAAGTAGTGCACACCAAAAGGAGAGAGAGACTGCGAGAGAGAGAGAGAGAGAGAGAGAAAGAGAAAAGCGTGACTGTGCTTGCTGTATGTTTCGTTCTGTGTTTTCACAACTCAGACACAGCACAAAGAGCACACTGTCAAACTTAGCAATCTGTGATCAATACTTGATCGATCAGATCCTTTTAGCTTAAATGCATGATTTGGTCTTCGGTTCATTATGAAGTTTGGTCATGCTGTAGCTTAAAAATCTCTCGCTGTTTCTCTCTCTCTCTGTGTTTCTCTCTCCCTCCCACCCCCCTTAACCCTCCAATCCCGGTTTCCCGTGTTAGAAACCACACTGAGGCCAAGCCCCACAAGTGTCCCCACTGCTCCAAGTCGTTTGCCAACTCCAGCTACCTGTCCCAGCACATCCGCATCCACACCGGGGCCAAGCCCTACACCTGCTCCTACTGCCAGAAAACATTCAGGCAGCTCAGTCACCTACAGCAGCACACACGGTACTGGGCCGAGCTGGGCTGGGCCGGGCGGGTTTTGAATGTGTGCATGTATGGGAGCAGGTGCATGGAGAGTTATGTCACTGTGCTTGTGTCCTTCTTTTTGAGTTATTGTGTGTTTATAGTGTCTATCAAATCTGACATGTACTTTTTTTCTTTTATAAGATGGATCTGTTCTGCCCACTTCCATATTTTAACTCTTAGATGCTACTAGAGTAGCTCGGCATGCCTCAAAGATCAAAATAATCCATATTTATGTTTTACTACAAACATAGACTGAGGTGTAAACCAGATTCAAAAGTTAAGGGTGAGTGACGCATAAAAAATAGTTTTCAGCGGATGATAGAAACAATCAAACCACAGATTAGCTCAACCTAATGGAAGGCGAAAGGCTGTTACAAAGCTAGGCACTACCACCTGAAAGGACAGAAGAATGTGGTTGATGTGTGATCACTGGCATGTATTAGCAGCCTAGTTTATCTGTTATAAAACTTTATTTCATAGCTTATTGCTTCATCATAAAATCCCAAAAAAGAGAAACGTTTCGTTGTTTGGATTAGTGACGAAACATTCCTCCCACTGAAAACGCTACGTCCACCTGAACAGAATCAACTTTTTGGGATTTTCTTACCTGGATGATTGAGCATGCATCAAGACACTTCATGATAAAATGTGCTAAAACAGAGGATGTGATTTTAAAGTGCACAAATAGCAACCAAAGGTCACACTATTCAAATTTACCAAAGCCGTTTCCTTCTCGAGGAAGTAAAAGTAGAAGTTTAAGAAACTGCAACATGAGGAAGCAAGGGGCTGAGCTGATCTAGAAGTATCTCAACTTTGTCAGTGCGTCAAACTTGACATCACCTTTGTTTTGTTTTGACTGTGATTTCCCAGGATTCACACCGGTGACCGGCCATACAAGTGTAATCATCCTGGCTGTGAAAAAGCTTTCACTCAGTTGTCCAACCTCCAGGTACTGAATCCACAGGTTTTCTCTTTGCCACTGACATGATCATTACTTTACTAAGGCTCTAGTGCTACTAGCATATATTTACTTGCAAGCCAGTGGTTCTCATACTCATCCAGGTTCCACAGGTTGGGTTTTGTAGACAAAATGTACAACCAAGTGTGATGGAGTAGTAGATATGTTGATGCTTACCTTTTTTTTTCACAGAAATTTTATTTTGGATCATTTTTCATTGTTAATAATTAAAAAGAGATTTAAAAATTCAACATGTTGGCCAA